CCCCCCCCCCCCCTCCCCTCCATTGTATCCCACGGTATGAATTTTGATACGCAATTTATTTCGCGATCACAACGGCCGATCGTTGACGATCACAATCTTGCAATTGCAGATTCCACCGATGTTCTCGCGCTCAAAAAAGTCCAAACATATTTTACTACTGTACCATTGCATCATATGTTATCTCCGCTGAACACAGACTAACAGAACATAGATTAAATATTACATCAATGTTATAATTGCCTATTCAGTAATGTAATTGTTATGTATTAGGTGTTACATCAACATATTCATCAACCGATTTTATAAATGTAATTGATCGACTACGCTTGCCTGCTAGAGAAGGAAATTTAACATACTGACCACAATATGTTGATGCAATCTGTAAAATATGAATCATTTTACACTTATATTGTTGAGAGGGAAATTATAATAATATTGATGTAACGTTACTGTTATTTTCTGTTTAGCGGGTTTTAACCTTAATATTATTGTCCTCTCTTTGCTATTATGTATACATGTATTATCGATTAGTGTCTAGGCGAACTTTATACATATTGTACATATCAAACGCTATTCTGTTACAAATAAATGTTTAAATCGTATTTGCTTTCCTTTGGAGCATTGGTCCCTCAAAATGTTTATAGCGTATCCTTTGTACCTGAAATATCCAAACAGTATACAAGTCATTTTAACATCATTTCGACGTGACTCGTTATGTTTGGATAAGATCGAGTCGACATGCATCGGTGAGTATTTTTACGTAAAGAAGAGTGAATAATTATTCTCTAAAATATTCCTGTCTTCAATACTTTATAGTATTCAGTTTGCACATTCGCGTGGAAGAACTTCGTACACATTTGTTTCATTCGACAGTGAAAGTCATTCTTCGAATGTCATCTCGGGGATTCCACGTTGCTCGCGTATTGCACCATCGATTCGAGATGCGTCAATAGCATGTTGTCCCTCGTTCCAAGAGCGACGAATAGCCAAGCGAAAATCGCAAGAAGGTCCTTTGATATCATTACCTTCTGCCAATCGTTCAGCTCCTCCAGAAAAGTCTCCTGCGTTGTATTCTGAAAAATCATTGTACATAAGCGCAAATAAAAAAATCTTAAACACGTCTCTTCACTGTTAGGCTATTAAATCGTCATTATATTCTTACATTTGACCATGTTTCATTGCTTTGATAATGTATTAGAGCTAACTGATCGTCCATCTTTGACGATGCTTGATGAAGTCCAAACGTTACCAGATAAAGCGGAATGGCGATCGCAGTTTTCGCGTGATCTGTGTAAATCTCGCGCAAGTGATCCGTATCAAGTCGCGCTAGATCGAATCTAAAACCATCAATATCTTCTATGAAATTAACGATATTTAAAATTTCTTTCACTCACCATTACTAGCTCAGATTATGAAGTCAAAAGCGAGGAAATACACTATAAAAATTATAATTAAAAATTAAACTGATGAGAATAAATTAAAAGAATTAAGAAAAATAATTCTATTTTCGATCAAAACAGATCTTGATGTTTAATAATATTTATATGTAAATTTTTGCAAATATACTTTTTTATAAACTACTTACCGATGATAAATTATCAAATTAATAACATATAAAAATAAATATGATTCAATTTCTGCCCGAAACAAGAAAACAGTTTAGTTAAATATTTTATAAGTCTATAGTTCTATATCGACTGCAAAGGTTTATATTCTTTTGAAAAATATTTCTATTCAAATATTATTTATAAGAATTTTTATTGTATATTTTCTCGCTTCTGATGATGTAATTTGAGCTAGTAGTGATAAATGAACAGGAGCCTTAAAGGCGAACGTTAAATTATGTTGAATCTTCTTTTTTAAAAGTCAAACGTACTTATCGAAGATGGAGATGATGCAAAGAGCGATTAAGAATGAGAATATATTCGCATATATTTCGGAGAAAATCGAGTAATTTGATATGAATTCCATCGAAGTGTTAAAAAAGACATGAATCTGCAATCATGAATCAGATAACATTCATTTTTTAAATTTCTATATCTAAATCTACGTTTAAATCAAGGAATACTTTTATGGTAGTTGAGAAGAAATGTTTACCATTATGAAATGCAGAAATGCCATACCGCCCAAGAGACCCTGATAGACGAGCCCTGTACATTTCCAAAATTTCTGCGCAGTGATTGCTACCTTTATGAGCGTATAGGTTCGAGTCTCTGCAGAATCGCAGCCTTCTCTACCTTTTGTTGCACGTGTCGTATCATTTCTCAAAGCACGTCTCGATCCGCCAATTTTCACGGCGCTAAAGCCGCTTCTGCCTTGAATATAAATTGTGTCTGTAGTCAATTCCGGAAGCGGCACAGGTTCTTCGTATTTTGTGCGCGCATTTTCTTGAGCCTTTTTCAAGATCTCGGTGATGGGCACTTCGTCGTCTTCTTGCGTGGAAAATTATTAAATTTACATTATAGATTTTATTTTTATTCCTCGTAAATGTTGAAGTTTCTCTAACTTTTGCATTAAAATAGCATTTAGTCTTCAATTGAACTTTCCCAACTGCTTTAAAATCGAAATTCTCGACTAATCAATCGAAAGATTTTAAATAGATTGTAATATGGAAAAGGATCTTGGAATAGATTCTTATCAATTTTTTGAGCTTGATTCTTATAATAAGAATGTCGCTTAAAGGATATTCTTTTTTTACCTCGGGAAACACGCCTCTTTCTTCTCTGCGATTTATCAGTGACGCTACCTTCCCTGTCACTATAGCGTTTCACAGATAACCCGATATCTGCTCGATCGTGATCGTGAAAGGCCTCTGCCGTGCGAGGCCGTGCTTCAAGCTTTCGTCTTTCAGTCCGTTTACTACGTTTCCTCTTTCTCCCAAGAGATCCCGACGCGATTCTTTCTTCGCTCGCGTGAATGTCTGAATAACGCATTTTTTCTGCACGAGTCGAGTATAATTCGGCTTTGCGTGATTTATTATTGCTTTTAGCATCCGGTGATTCGGTCTCCGTGTTTTCAGTGTCATTTTGTCTCCGAGGAAAACTCTAGGATGTTGAATAGTAAGGTCAATTATAATTTTTTAACCTTCAATTACTGTACAAGGGTAAAATGCTGCGCAATTTTCAAACGTTCTAGGTATACCATACCCTTGTACAGTAATTGAAGGTTAAAAAATTATAGAAACCGAAAAATGAAGAGACGCTGTAGGAGAAAAAAATTAAGCGTTCTTAACATAGGTATACATTTCCCTACCTAGTTTCATCAGACTGCGTGAAAAAGCAATAGCAATCACCCTTTTTTATAAAAAAAAAAGAATCGTGTATAATTTCACTTGTTGAAATAAATATAGGTACACTTGTACGGGAATATTTTTTGACACACGTTTTTAATTAAAATATACACCTTCAATAGTTCATTTCTTTAATTTCTTTATTTTTATTTCTAAATTACATACGATTAATATAATTTTTTGGAAAAATTTTTTTTATTTTTCATAATTTTCGTGATAGTTCGAAAAATTCGCTTTTATTCGTTATTAAATATTTTTTACAATTTACAATTTTTGGCAACAATATTTATACGGGGCTCTTCTTTAGATTCTCCAAAATAAAGATTTTACACATTTACTTTAATCAGTGAATTTTACTGAAAATTAGAGACACTAACGGAGTACGCTATATCCTCATAATATATCCGTGCTGTAACTAAAGATTAAATATAAATAATTACCTAGTGCTTCTCAACCTGGTAAATAATATAAATGATTGACGCAAATAAAATACCGAGACTTTATTAAATTAATTGTTAATTAGATCAATACAATGTTGCGCTGCTGATGAATAAAATAGCATATACACTGCCAGAGTGAATTATATATATATAATCATTTATTCATTTTTAAATATTAATTGAATATTAATTATGTACAAATATGTACGACTGAAATATAGTTGCAATTTGTAATTTGTGATTACCAAATTATAAATAATTCACAGTTAATTATTATAGACGTTTTAAACAACTTTTAAATTACTTTTAGTTTTGCTGTATAAATAATACTGACTGTTTTGATTTTTCGTTCGTAAGATCGGTTCGACTCTTGTCTCGACTCTTCCGAGCTGGTCCATCGTTTCTGTGACAGCGTGCTACCGTGTTTCACGTAATTATCGCTCTCCACAGTGCGAACAGAAGCTTCATCCTCGCTATCATTCTGCTGGAATTGTTTACCGATCGCCGTAGATCTTCGAGAGGTTCGACTTCCGCGTGTCATTTTAAGACGCATCGAAGCATCAATCGTTCAGTTGTCCTACGGTCGATTTGCGACCATCTCGCAATTAATTTCAAACGCGTCCACAAGTCCATATGAATTTTTCTTTTTTAAATTTTAAAGTATCTGCACTATACGGAACCATTGATTATTATAAAAATTTCCCTCAAGCGTGTTTAACGATTTAACTTCGCAGTTGACATAGGGTCGACTGTCGTTCAGTACACTACAGACTTATATATAAGTCTGTGTTTAGGATCACAAGGTACCCTGTATCCATAGTAACACTTTGTTGTGATATTAAGCTCTGTAGCGACCAGTTTAAAATATACATCTATATATTTAGTTTTATTTTAAATCATTCAAAGCGAGTCGAGTAAAATATTCAAAATAAGAATTCATATTTTGACTATTTAGCCACCTTTTTTTATTGGGGAAAATAATTAAAATTATTCAATTGAAAAGTGAAATGATTATTCTCATAGTACTTTGGCATTTTAATCTTAGAATAGTATTTTTTTTTTACTATTTAATGAGAGATACTGGAGTACATCAAGTACCCTATTCTTTATCATAGCATAAAATAATTATATATATAAATAATATATGTAGAAGAATTTAATAATAGGTGGTCAATTTCTTCTTTTAATAAAAAAGAGAATGGTGTTAATGAAATTCGATTTGTTTAATAGAAATTGATCAAAAAACGATTTAAACGGAACAAAAATTCCTTTTTTTCATACAAAAATAGCTCATAAATAAAAAGATTCTCATTTATTATAAAGAACATATAAGTAAAACAGAATACATGCTCTTTAAAATGTTTAGAGTGAATCTTACTCTGAAGAGTGAAATCTCAATCTTAAAGATTGATGATTGAGCCATTCTTTTTCAAAACCGGTCCGATTTTCACTCTTTAGAGCAAGATTCAAAAAAATTTAAAGAGTGTACATAAATTACAACATTTTAGAAAAATACATAAGACATTTTTAACAATATATATGCCTAAGAAGTATGATTTATTATACTGAATGATAATTTCTACAAGATCTGTACAACATACATAAAACCTTTACAAAAATTGATTTTTCTCTCTGTGGTAGTAAATAAAACACAGAGTATATCCTATGACAGTAGCATCTGCCCAAGTAACTCTATTAAAATAATTCCTTATGTTAAAATAATAATTTATACATCCAGTTTTATTTAGATTTAAGTTAAGGAACTATATCAATAAGTTTTCATAGAATTTCTAAATCACAATGCCGTATTTCTGGATGATTTTTCTGAAAATCGCGAAAAGATAAAATCGTATTAAAAATTATAAATTATTATAGATTTATATATATCCACATAATGTATTACTGTATATTATTATATAAAACATATTTGTTTACCTTTAGTTTTAATTCTATTCTGTCAATTTCCCCACCAAGCATGTCTACGATATTTTCACCGTGTTTTAATAAAAATGTCTCCAATTCATCGATATTTTGCATACTTTTCACTTCCTACAAAAATATTTGATGTTTATTTCATCTGATGTAATATCTCATCTCTCTCTTTCAATAAAAATAAGAATATAAAATCTATACCTCCAACATTGCAATAAGATCATGTTTATCTAGATAAGATCTTGTGAGTTCTCGTCCATCAAAATCCAGTTCGGCTTTATATCTCACTAAATTATTACCCATGTCAATGCCTTTCACATCATGAATCGCACGAACCTGCGAAATGTATACAAACATAAGAATCAACGTATTTAAAATATCGATTAAATATATTACATATTTGATTTTAAGATTAGTATTACCATTATATCTGCTTCTAGTTCAGCGTTAATTTTATCGAGATTCTCTTGCGATATACTCCTTCCTACAAGTGCAGCAACGTTCGAGTAGATTATAAAAGATGCCACTCCACCGAGCAGACCACCAACCAGAAGTGAACCGATAGCGTCAAACATTGGATTTTCTAAATATGAGGTCAAGCCCATACATCCAGCTGCGACAATGACTCCAAGCACCTAACAATTACACAAAATCTTTTTGAATGCATAATTAACATGTTCAAGAAAAAGTAAGAATAACGACTTACAGCTGCAAAGTCTTCCATGAGCACAACGTTCACGGACGGATCTTGTCCTTCCAGAACAAACTGTTTCAAACTTTCTTTTTTTTCTTCTGCGCCTGTCTTTATAGAGTGTAATGCTATCATTAAAGTCGCACCTTCAGAGAGCAAGGATCCACCCAAAACGAAATATGCCCAGAAAAGAGTATCTAATGGCGCAGGAAAAAGAAGACCATGAATTCCATGATAGATGGAAAGACCCGTACCGACACAAAAGATTCCCACACCCGATATCAATGAGGAAACGTACTTCATGTTCGTATAACCATATGGGTGATCAGGATTAGGATTCTGCAAAATAATTTGTATAAAATAAATTAAATTTGGAAAAAATTCTAAAATTATTCGCGTTATTTATTTACCTGCACCGATTTATGAATACCGTATGCTAGAATCAATTGATTACAAGTATCCGCTGCAGAATGTACACACTCGGAAAACATACTGTGCGAGCCAGTGTATAACCAAGCAATTAACTTGCACAAAAAATTACTAGCATTTCTAGAAAAGAAGAAATTAATCGAGAAAATTTACACAATTACATGATATGCATAAATGTAGTACATACATAGCAATCGCAGTCAACACTACTTTGCCAGATCTACCAAAAAGACCTTCCTTCTGAATTATTTCCGTTTTACTGCCAATTTCCCGTCTGTAATCCCTCAATCTTCGTTTGACCGTAAAAACATCTATGACGAAAAGCTTGTGTTTCAATGTTTGTACCAATTAATTTCATTTTATTATTACAGGATATTCCTATCAGACTAACAGAATATGTGAATGATCCTGTAAGATGGACAATTTCTGAGCACAGATATTCTCTATCTTGATGAGATGTTCTCTTTTATAGCAACAAGGACTTTGAATTAAGTAAACAGATAAAAGTACATATATGAAGATATACATATTTACTTTGCTGATAGATCTTCCGTTCAACTTCTTTCTTCAAAAGTTCTTTCAACAAAGCTTCTCTGGATCCCCAGACTTCTAAAGCTCTACAAAAAAGCAAAATTTTAAAACATTCAATTAAATAATTTTCAGTACAAGTATATAGAAATTTATCAAATCGATTCTCTTACTTAGCCTCGACATCTTTCCTCCAATAGACTGTGATAGGTGGTTCAAGTTCATACGGAGAACGTCTTTTTGTTTTTGGCAAGGTCTCCAAATCAGAAGGCTTTAATAGAAAATCTGCCATAGCCCTCACAGGTGTAATAAAATTACGTTCCAAGGAAGATGTCGACTTGTCAACTCTGACTTTCTTTTTTGCTATAAAGAAAAAAATCAGAAGATTAATATTTCGAACTTAACTCCATCTATATTGTCATACCTTTTTTTGAGACATCATCTTTTGATGATTCTTTGGATTCTGCAGACTGTTTTTCAACAAGTTTTGCTGCCTGTCCTTCCTTCTTCTCATCAGAAGTAACTGGATCTATATCTAATACTCTCTCTTTTAATTTACCTAACTTCTCTTCATTTAATTCTATTATTCTCTGCTGAACTTCCTCAGCTAGTTTTGTTTCAGACTTATCTTTAGACTTTGCATCATCAGACAGAAATCTTGTCACGCAAGTCCATTTGCAATCTGTGTGCCTGCCTACCTTTCTGTTAACAAAAACTTTTTGAGAATTCGAAAAAGTATGTACTTTGTATTGCATGCCATACTTGGGCACTATTAAAATACTGGCATGTCTTCTAACTAATCCAATTTGAAATATGCACAATTGATCGGCATGATACCGACATGTTACGTTTCGAATAAAGTTTATAAAATTATAGGGCCGATGAAACATCCTTATTATTATCTTCTTTTTTTCTCAGATATACATCACTTAACCTATAAAAGAATAAATCGAATTTAAATATTTCCATTATAAAGAAATTTTTAACAATTATAGAATAATGAAACAGTATAATGATGTTATCTTCAGAAATCGTTCAAATGATAATATAACAAAAAGTTGTGTACGTACACGATAATTTATTTGTTATATTAGAAGGTTCACTATGAAATCATTCACCCTTCCTTTTTCAAGATTACTACCTACATTAAACACACATTGCTAAACAACTGCAAGATATTACATTATCATTGTGAATAAATAAATTACAATTGAATTGTTTTAAATCTAATGACAAGATAACGAACTGTCACCAACACTATACTCGTTCCATTTCCTATGGACGGCATGAACATGAAAAATGAAATAACGTTGCCGACGTTGCCGCAGATGCGCAGTGAATGACCAATCCAGGAACTGATTTCTAACTTTTCATTTACCGATTGAATATGGCTGGTTGATTATCGAACACTGACGATAACATTAAAAATCACAGTTTTTAATAAAAGTTGAGTATTATTGAGTTTTAAACATACATACATGTTTACAAATCTAATAAATCATAAAATTAGTACTATATTATCAATTTTTTTTACTCTTAACCATTTAAATTTTAAACCATTCGAGCTTCCGTAAGACCGGCCGTCTTTAATCTAGTATATTGGTATCTCATCGATGCCGTCGATGGTTGGCGTTAGTGCGCGGAAGGTTAAATATGAAAAAAAGCCGGTGTAGACGTTCTTGGGTTGATTTTGATACATAGCATCCAATAGCATCTGTCAAACTGGAAATAAGAGAGAGTGACGAGACAGCGAGAGAATTCTCTTGCTATTTCATTCACTCACAATCAGCACTGAAGGCTGAAGGCTCATGAAGTCATGAATGTGAGAAGGACGGACCAGGACGGACTTCTCGCTGTCTCGCTCGCTTCGCTTGGTGGGGGAAAATGGAGAGCTGATTCAGCTGATTACTGAAATTGCTCTGCCCTGGGCCGCCAAATGTGCATCACTGATAAAGGGTAGCATTGCAATTGAATCGTTGACTGTGTTGTAGTTGTCCTCCTATATTCATTTTACGGGAGGCAGGAGCCGTAATATAGAAGAAAAATCATGGATGGTGGTCAATCAAAAGACACGGATCCGCAGTTTATATCCTTCCACGATTTCCCATCAATAAGTCATGCTGAAAACTCGGAGGGACAGCTGGGCACCGGAGCTTCCACTCACCAGCCCTTTAATAACCTTTCAAATGACTCGATGGGTATCGGCATGATCGAAGATTTACAAGGAATGCCCGCTAAAACTGAAGGTTTATGTAGCTTCTTGGAAAATTTCTCAGTTTTATTTCCTATCGATAGACAATCATTGTAATTCAAACGAGAATATGTCGTTTCTTCTTAGATACTGCCCAGAACAACTTCTGGACAATTGAGTATTACCAAAAGTTCTTTAATGTCAATACAAATGAGATTTTGGAGAAGCTCATGCATTCCATGATACCACATGGTAACGACAATTATTTTATAACGCATATAAAGCCAAATCCAGATTTATATGGGCCTTTCTGGATAAGCGTGACTCTAGTGTTTGCTATCGCAATTAGCGAAAACGTGGTAAACTATTTGCAGACTGCTAATTCTAGCAAGTATCACTGGAGATATGATTTTCATATTGTGACGTACGCAGCCACTATTATATCTCTCTATGTGTTGCTTGCACCATTATTCCTATGGGGTACATTAAAGTGGCTCAACAAATATCATACGTCGGGAGAGGAATTGATCCAGGTTTGCTATTAAGTATTTTTCTTTGCTTTAAATCTCCAGTATTGAATAGTATTCATTTCCCCTTGTAATTCTTTGTTTTTTTTCAGTCTTATCCCGTCCCAGGACTCTTAGACCTTTTGTGTCTGTATGGATATTCCTTAAGCATTTTTGTTCCAGTAGCTTTCCTGTGGATAATTCAAATTGGCTGGTTACAATGGAGTCTAGTCATACCGGTGACGGTTTTATCTGGAGGAGTTTTACTACGATCATTATTACCAGCATTTGAAAGTAAGATACATATTTATCTTTAAAATATATATACCATAAAAATATTTGTATGTCAAAACCAGTTCTTAACATTTTTATGTATATCATAGTGTTAATATAACATATCCTAAAATGTTACTAAACGTAATATGATTGTATTATTTGAATATTTTGTGTTAAATTAATATTTTACATTTCTTAAAATTTATGAGTGAGTGAATCAATAATATAAAATAATGTATTTTAAAACGTAAATTTTAAGATAAATGACTATAAAATGTTAATTGAACATAATTATAAGGATTAATTTAATTGAAGAAATATATATATTCTTCCATAATTTATTTACAAAGTGTTATGTTTTTGCGTTAACTTGTCACAATATTTGTGTTACGCTTAACATATTTATCTTATGTTAAGTTTAATAACACAAATTTTCCAATTGTATAGAAAATACATGAAAAATCATTTAAATCAAATTAATCTAACAAATAAAATTAATATATCAAGCAAAATAAATATATTTAAATTGATTTTACAGGGGGTAAATGGAGGATTCTATATGGTGCTACAATTCTGATTATGCATCTACTATTGGCAATGGAACTTATGTTGCAGTTCTACTACGCGTCATCTAAAAGTACTACTTCAGTCAATATGACTGAATTGGTAGCATCTTCTACACATACCAGTGTGTTGCATAAAGTAATACAAAATAATAGTTCCGTCGTACCGCCAACGACATTTTGAAATGACCAAATGCAAATCTAATAAGAATTATCTTCGACACTATCAAGAAAATTCGTTTATTCATGTGTCTATATCAGATTTAATTCAAAATACTGTTTTTTATTTATATATCAATCAAAATATATAGGCACATGGCGTTAATCGTATATAGAATAATATTTGAATATGTAGATTAATATAATATATATATATAACTATAAACTATGTTAAGGTAAGAATAAAAAATATCGTGGTCCCTTAGGCATGCATTCCTCCGAAAACGACACAATTTAATAAAACTTTGCTCCTGCTACGCGATTGTGTTTCAGGGACAAGTGACAAGACTAGCGAGAAGTGTTTGGTTGATTTATTTCACAGCCCTACTGCAATATAGGGACGCGTTACATCAACGCAACACACATATCATTTACAATCATACGAAATAATCTCCACGACGTTGTACATAATGCATGATCGCGCGGTATTAGTACTTATAATACAATAGATTATTACATTATTAATCGCACATAATTTATTAGTATCTTGCTCGTTTACCAATGTGACAAAAGGCAACATTCATTTTGTAGTTGTTATCATTAATGTTATTATCGTCAGTGTATTTAATACATATATCGTGACAATAGTAATTCACTCACTATTGCGAATGAATGTACATCTTAGTGACCAACCGTCCCAAATTAGGAGGGACAATCCCAAATTTTTATTCTTTATGCCACTTTACAATGCGTCTGAAATTTTGTCCTAAATTAAAGACATAATTATAAAATGCTCCTCTTTTAAGTGTGAAAATAATAAATATGAAATATATATTAAGTGAAAATGATAAGTGTGAAATATAATTTTTAATTAATATGAAGAATTTCATGATTTGTTATCGAAAAAAAAACCTAGATATATTCATAAAATACATTCGGTAGAAAAGTACAATTTTAAAAAAGAAAATGTAATCTTGTAACACTTGACGTAATTTTTGTTGTGATCTCATGTGATATTGTACATCGAGTGTTAGTTATTTACAAATATAATAATATATTGTTTATGTGTTCCGTTAACAATTATTTTTTAAATGTTTATTAAAATTATAACAATTAATATTAAATTTTTTTAAATGTCCCTCTGCCTTAAGGAGTTGGTCACCTTAATGTACACGCGCTGCTTGAAGTAACGACTCCGAGCCTCGAGCTACTGAAAAGAAATTACAAACCTTAACAGAAGCTGCAGCTGAGAAAATTTCTTCCCTCATCGATAATAATACGCCACAAATTGACACTCCGTAAAGAGAGAGCTCAACGTAGTTCGAGAACTAATTCTTTGAAAATTATGTTCTCCGGAATATATCGTGTTGAGACCAGGGATCATCTCGGTGAGATTCGCCTGCAAGCCTTGTCGATGTGAGCATCGTACGTATAAAAAAGAATTTCACGGGTAAGAGCCTAGAATTTATACATAGAGTCGAGCATCTATCACACAAGCCCATTTTCAACTGTACAAACTTTCTCAGCTGTAATAAATTTCTATTTTTTCCGTAAAGTGATTCATACATTGTAATAATGGGCACGTTATTAAAAAAGACATCAGCCGTTATTCGCGTCAAGATCAATTATTATAATTTTGGATATGGCCCATTTCTATCTATATAAATTAATTTTGACCTCGATTTAATTTACTCTTTATTTTTTTCTAATTCTTAGAACTACAAGAAGATAAAAAAAGTAAGTTAAAAAAAACTGAGATTAAAATTAATCTACATTGGTAGAAATTTTCATAAATCTGCTTTCTCTAAACACGTATATATTGTATATATCACGTAGAACATGTATACTACAACTAACGTTATGTGATTTAAAACAAGAGACATTTATCTTACATAAATGCCCATATACAGCATAGATCTCCAAAGATTGTGTTAAAGACGTTCTTATGTCTTTTGACCATCATAAGAAAGTTTCCAGGACATCTCTCGGATAAAGTGTGCTGCGTGAGATGTGAACAATAATTTTTGTATGAACAAAAAATTGAATTTTGCAACTTGACAGGAAAAGATCAAACACATTTTTTGAGCCTACTCTTTTTAGCTCTTCTTGCACGGTTCAGCTTTCCTTTTTTTTTTCATATTGAAAAAAAAGAGAAGATGAATTGTGTAAGAAGCTTCTCAGAAAGAACATGACTTCTTATATCGAAGCGCGCGACGATGTCTTTCTTCGATTTTTTCCCCTTTTTTCTTTTCGTTAAGTGATAATAATGGGGATACTCAACGATGAAGACTGTTACAGTTTACAGCTAGTGCTCACAACGACATTGGTCCGACGTGTTTACGAGATATTGCAGTCACAGATTGTGAATAGGCAGGAACGATAATAATTAAAAAATCTACGGCGCGGCGGTCTAATACCGAATTGCCGTTTCACTTCTTTCTCCTTTTGTTCAAAATCAAAACACCATCGGCGCTTTATACGCGATGCCGCTTTCCTTTTATCGCACCCCCTTTTTTATGATCCCCAATAATACATTTACAGTAGCACACGCTCGAAATGCATCAGCGAAATAACGCTGTCGTTTATTTACAATATAATGTCACGCCCCGCCGGACGTTGTTATAATACACGGTAATTATTTCGTTCGCCGTCCCGACGATCTGATGATCGCGGGGTGTGTCGTATATGAATCAACGTATTACACATACACATATTAAGACATACCCTGGTTTTTAATCAATTGTTACAATATAGGTATATATAACATTTGCTTGCAAACAATGTGCTTGTTTTATACAAAATCATCCCGCTGTACGTGTACAATCCGCAGATATATACAGCGAATCGACGTCGCGTAAAGCGAGCAAGTCCTTTACCAGCAAATTATTTATGGGCATACATATATATATATATATACATATATATATATACACACACATACATATATATATATATATATATAAATTCTACAAATCTCCTTTTTCTATTACAATAATTTCAGATTGATTATTCAGTCGCATGCCTAATTAATATAATTACGTGCTCTGATTTATGTAATATTGAACTCGAGAAACTTCATGGACAACAATTCACTAATGAAAATTAGACGACGCACTGTGCTGCGTAGAACGTCAATTGACACGCAGTCTTGTATTAAATTTTTAATATAAAATACAATTTAACGAAAATTGTACAAATTAACCGTGAAATGTTTCACCGGTAATTCATTCCTGGTTCTTGTATACCATTTCAGAAAAACATTCAATTATTCTCACGAAAACAATTCTCGCATTTTATACTTAAAAAAATTTTAATATTTTTTTACAAAGATAAAAAAAATATCTTAAACTTCTTTAAATTTTATAAATTTTCTTTAGAAATTATAAAATGAGAAATCCTAGAATATTTTAGAATATTTAAGAATATAATAAAAAAAAAGTATACTTTTTCAATATTTTTGAAAAGTGTTCACGTCTAATAAATTCATAATAAAAAAACAGAGAAATTTTTTAAAAAGTTACGAAATTAGAAAAATTCTCAAATTTGTATAGAAATTTTGAAATATTACGTAATCTAAGAAAAATTTTCACTAGAATAAATTTGAATGGCAAATAATTAAATCGGTGGAAACAATTATACGAAACTTACATTTTAACTGCGTGTGAATTTGACTACACGCGTGTGCCCAAGGCTCGGAAAAACATCTATAGATTTTACAAAATTCTCAAAGCGTTCTGAACTTTCTGCTATTGCTTCTTGGCTGCTACTGGCTACGCGTTGTAATATTCGATTTGTTTATGCTAGTTTTACGCATATGCGATTTGATATTGTGGAGCGTCTATAGTTAAAAAAATGCAAAATTGAAAAAAATACAATAGATGAAGAAACATTGAAAGTAAAAAAGCTGTTTTCTTTAATAGAAGGTCTAGATATCCTCTGCATTTTGGGGAATCCAATTTTAATTAATTACAAGCAAATTGCTTCAGGAAAGCAACACAATCCTGAGTAATAACAACTGTTAAAAATTGACTTCGTTGAATAAATTTTTGATTTGGGAGACGTGGGAAGCGTTACAGGTGACAATCTTTGTCCGTATAATCTAATACAGGATTTAACCGGATATAAGGAGAAAAGTGGATATACATTGTTAAATAGATTTCGTATTTTTCGTAGATCTACTATGTCTCGATATCTGTGTTTGCCAACACGTTAATGTAGAGTAGAAATCCTTATATCCTAACGATGAAAAACTATGGAGCTTACAAAGAATGTATTTTACAAGCTTAATTTCTAATGTCCTACAGATCGGCTCTCGTACGCACTCGTTTATCGCGTAAGTTTTTAAATGCCCTACGACTTTATCGAATTCACAATTAATATCATTCTATAACTTGAAAACAGGGCAGGAGAAAGGTATATCATTGTAGAAAAATCGTGCCGTCTTGAAACTAGCACGAATCTAATTGTCGAGCATTCCCTTGGAATCTCGATACGGACACGAGCGAGGATTGGGGGTGCTAAGCCACAGAATCACATTGGTCGATCTAAAGTATCAAGATATCGATATTTAACGTCAGCACAGAGAAGTACGGAACGAAGCGAAGTACAAACGCTGAGATACACACAAAGTATCGAATTCTCTAATCACGTATTAATCTGCGACTACTAGATTCGATGCAGTGTCATATAAAAAGGGACGATTCGAGTTTCACGTCTAAGTAGACTCTCCGTCTATGTATATTACAAACGCGAGGCTTCTTTTGATCGACGTCTCATTTTGATCACTTTCTTTCGGTGAAATGATTTACTTTGATTGCGGACTTAGACGTATATTACATAGAACAGGTACGTAAGAGTTAAAGAGTTACTTTTTTTTTTGCCACCCTCTTATCTCCTCCTCTCGAAAACTTTTCATTTTGGAATCGCTGCATGTCGCCATGCTATCCGACAGCATCCGGAAAAAATATGCGAGCGGTCGACTTTTCAGGCGCGACAAACTGACTTAGGCATATTTAGTAACTGCTATTTTCAGTTCTTAATGTTGCGAATATATCAAGATAATTGACGTTTACGTTGCAGCAAAAAATCAAAACTTTTACTGTTTTATGCCAAGCTTGAATCCTGACTTACTCCGTCCGATTCCCCTTGTTTAAAAATAAGCAAAATCGACATTAAGAAAATCATCCGTAAAAAAACGATACTTTGCCACTTGTCGAGGAAAGTGTTTCCATATCGCGAACGCAGAAACTCAAAAACTCTGATGTAGAAAAAAAAACAGAGGATGATAGAAAAATAATTTAAAAGAAATACAGACTATATGTTTTGCTTGTTCGACTTGAATCTTACCCGGAACAAAAATAACTCTAAATGTGCGATTAAAAGCGAAAGAAACAAAAATTGTCAAAAATTTGGAGATCTCTCGTGAGACGTAGAAAAATAACGAAAATTCAGCGATTATAGGATATTTCGTAGGCGCAAGCTGAATATTATCAGTGGAAACGGGAGCTTTTGAATACGCAATCGAGGAGACTTTTCAAGTTTAATTAAAAAAAAAAATAAGAGAGTGCACTTAACACTACACAACTCAGTTCACAGATTGCCCACGGGCATCCGCATTTATTTACGAACTAAGACACAATGACGTCTGTTACCGCTGCGTGTACCCGATCATTGTTAATTAGTCAAATGTATTTTTTTTATTTTTCATCTCACCTTTCTGCTCTGCATTCATTCTCTCCTTCATTCTCTCTCTCTCTCTCTCTCTCTCTCTCTCTCTCTCTCTCTCTCTCTCACGTATCGTTTACGTTGCATATAATTCGAA